TTTCTTTCTTTCTTTCTTTCTTTCTTTCTTTCTTTCTTTCTTTCTTTCTTTCTCTTTCTTTCCTTTCTCTCTCTCTCTCTCTCTCTCTCTCTCTCTCTCTCTCTCATTCTCTCTCTTGTTCTTTCTTCTTTCTTTTCTTCTTTTTGGTGATTCTTTGTGAATTTCACATCATCCATCCTGATCCCACTCATCTGTCCCTTGACTTACACAGTCTACACTTGCAACCTTTCCCCCGAAGCAAAACAAAATTTAAAAATAAGACCAAATAAAAACCCCAACTCTTTCTTAAATTTTAGCTTTCACCAAAGTCTTACTGGGAAATGCCTGAGATAATGCCAACTCCAAATTACTTGAATTTTTCATTAATGTGACAAGATGTTACAAGTCATAGCTATTTAAGGCACACTAAGTTAACTTCTCATAGACAAAACACAAAGCAAAGTGTCAAGCACAGAGTATGTTTCATTTTTCTGTCTTTCATTTTTAATATCAAATTAAAACATTAGCAGCAGTATTTATATCATGTGCCTGCCTGAGTAGTTATAATTGACATTAGAATATGAAACTACATCACGTCCCTTGAATTGGTGGATGAGCAGATGGAGTGCAATCACGTGATCCATCAGTAGTATTGGGAATGGTCTTGAGGATTTCCTGATAAGACAAAGAGACAGAGGCCGGTGCTGACCAACCCACTGTAAATCCTCCTCTGCTCAAGCATAGAAAAATTATTGCTAAATGTAGCAAGGAAATGGCTGTCAATCAATCAGAGAGCAACAGGAATCTATAGATTTCATTGGAGACAGTGAGTAACAATGAAGGCACAGTGGGGATGCAGCTGCTGGAGGGAGAGGCAACATACAGATGAGATTTTAAAATTATAAGTCTATGACTCAAAGGCCGTGGAATATTTCTGCCTACACTTTAGCATCCATTCACAGAGAACAATTTCTAATTATAGATTAAGTTCATAGCGTGGCGTTTGACTGCAAAAGTTAAAATCGTTCTTAAAGTAACTATCAAGGGGAAATAGCATAATCTGATGCCATCTCTAAGGGATTATAGTTAGTGAAGTTGCATTGTCGGAATTGAGACTTCCCAGTGAGTTTGCGTGGGGGCATCTTAAATTCTGAAAGGTAATCTAACGGCCATCAGGAAACTCAGACTAGAGATGAAATGGCCTCCTTTCCAAGGCAATCTGCTGAGATATGAATTTCCTGTTTTATAGAAGACCATTTTACGAGGCCAATAACAGAAAATGTGAAGACAGCTATTCTTTGTAACACTTTATCAATAAAAGCTATGTTGTGAGAGCAGTTCTTTCTGAAGACTGTCAACACGTATGTCCAAAAGTCGATTATTCTCTAATGGCACTGGAAAACTTGTGATAAATTGGATTCTTCTCATTTTTCACCAGTGATTGACTTGATACTACGAACTCAGTAGGCATACTTCAGAATTAAGATATAATCAAAGGAAAGCAGTGGTTCATGAATTTGATGTTCTTGCACTGAGTTTTTAGAATGCCTATAAAACACAGAAACACAGGACAGTGTTTTCTTCTGATCCTTGCATTTCAGGCATACACGTTTATTGACATGGCAGACATCTGTGTTCATCATGACTAATGTATTATAAAAGGGGAAAATATAACATATGTTGTGATAAAATCTACTGAATGTGGGGGAAATCAGAGAAACTATGCGCTTGTCATGTAAGGTTGTTTAGGTTTCCTCCATTTATTTATTTTCCAGTGACTTGGCATTTTATCATTGCTAGAATCTCAACAGCAATAAAGCTGAGGTCATTCAGATTCATTTAAAACTCTGAAGTAATGCACAACCGTGCCAAAGCTAAATCAGCACGACGTACAGTGAAATTACATTGCCATAATTTCTAGTTGCCTCATTTTGATGCATATAAAGCATTGGAATGGTGCTACCTGTACAGCACAGATTAAGAAATGAAATCAGGGACAAGGAATTGTTCTCCAAGTCTGTCAAATATATGCTCTCATTTTTATCAAATATACACATTATGCCTAACAAAATCACCATCTCCCGAGAAACAGAGAAAATTGTATGCCGGAGATTATGTGGAATTTCAGTGATCGATTCTGTAATTTCTTACAGACAATGTTTTGTGTTATTTCGACTGCAGTAAACATAGCTGCTGCTATAGGTTAATTCACATTCTTTTAGTGACTTTGCCATATGAGAACTTATGGCTTGATTATATTTGGAGCATTACAACTTATTCTGAAGGGAGAGGGAAAGAGAAGTCAGAATCTATTGCCACCCAAGAACAAAGCTCTAAAATATACTTTCTTTCATTATTTTCATCCAGCAAAACTAAGAATAATAAATAAAGAAAGCAATATATATGTATATGCATGCATAATTAACAAAATTATATTATACATGGAATAATTATGTGATTTATAAAGCCTCTAAGAAGAAACTGCACAGATGAGTTATAAAATACCATAATAACATTTGGAAAAATGAAAATAAGAATTGAATAATCCAATACATATTCTTTTGAAACACAACATATATATATAAAAATAGGAATTCAAAGTTCAACTGTACTTAGAAGTGAGCCAATCTTGTACCTGGGAGTTAGAAACAATCCAAAACAACATAAATCAAAGCAAATGCTAAGAGGGAGATTTGTGTGTCTGGGACTAAGCAAAGTGCTTCTCTAGAAAGGAAAGGATTCATACTCAGTCTCTAGAAACATAAAAATGTAGCTAAATTAAAGTAATTTCAAATTAAATGTA